GGGGTCTAGTTTCAAAAGAACACAGTGATCCAGACTGTATATCTGAACAAGGTCAATCTATGTGGCTTCTTTAAAAGTGCAGTGGGAAGTTTTAGAGTAAAAATCATCACGAACTCCTCTACCTGGCTGACACCAATCTCTTGCATCATGACAGTAAACTGCTCACTAGAGAAAACAGCCAACTGACCTGCCATGCTACCCTGTCTTCTGGCTTGTTCTGTGTGTATTCACAGATTCTAAGGGGTTTTAAGAAGGAGCTAGCCACTCACAAATGCTCTCAAGTCTTTGGGACGGGGAGAAAATGGTGTTTCTTGAGCAAAAAGAAGAGTATTTCTTAGCAGAAGAAATAAGTTTATTTAAAAAAATATTTACTTATGTATTTATTTATTTGGCTGCACCAGGTCTTAGCTGTGGGATTTTTATTTTATTTTTTTAGTTGCGGCATTTGAGATCTTTAGTTGAGGCATGTGGGATCTAAGTTCTTGTTCCTTCTGGGACTTCACTGGGAGTGTGGAATCTAGCCACTGGACCACCCAGGAAGTCCCAGAAGGAAAAAGTTTAATATAAACATCTCCAAGCACATTGATGACAGTGACAAACACAGACCTTCACAAATGGGAATGATTGCTTTCCATCTGCTTCTCTGTTCAGGTGGTACCTGCTGCAGGAGGTACCACCTGAACACACTATCCATTCTCCACACCAATATTTACTGAGCAACTCCCACGTTCCAAACATTGCACTAAAACTTAGGAATTACTTAGTTACTTGGGTAACTTGTACGTTGACAGTGAAATCCCCTGAAGTAATTCACTTACTGTGATTAACAGAAACTATTTAAAAATAACATGAGTTTCCCTGGTGACTCAGATGGTAAAGAATCTGCCTGCAATAAGGAGACCCAGGATCCCCTGGGGAAGGGAACCCACTCCCAGTCCACGGGGTCGCAAAGAGTTGGACACAACTGAGCGACTTTCACTTTCATGACCCCCAAATCTGATCTACTTGAAGATCTGAGCTGATGACAACTCCAGCCCTTCAGTTGCTAAAGTCAAGTACCTCAAATCATCCTAAATGCACTGCTTTTCTTCTCCTCACACCCCATTAGGAAATCTCAATGGCTCCATCTTCAAAGTACATTCAGAATCCAGCCATTTTTCTCTAGCTGAAAAATTTCAACTGACTTTTTCTAAATAAAAGAGGCTGCTTCTTAAGACCAAGGCTGTTTAATACTTTGGTGTCTTAAAATTATGCAACATTCTGAACATTACTCCAGAAAATGAAATTCTATTTCTTAATTGATAAGCATAACTGGAAGCTTAATTTAATCAGCACTTTAATCCACAACCTACAAAACTGAATCTTCATTTGCTTTTCTCTTTAGTTTCTTTTATTATTACTATTATATTTAAAAATCTATCTACATGAAAAGTGAAAGTGTTACTCACTCAGTTGTGTCTGACTCTTTGCGACCCCATGAACTATAGGCCGTCAGGCTACTCTGTTCGTGGAATTCTCCAGGCAAGAATACTGGAGTGGGTTGCTTTTCCCTTCTCCAGGGGACGGATCTTCCTGACCCAGGGATCGAAGCTATGTCTCCTGCATCACAGGCAGATTCTTTAGGGCTTCCCTGACAGCTCAGACAGTAAAAGAATCTACATGAATATATATACATTTTTTTAATTGCAGTAAAATGGCTTTACAATGTCGTGTTACTTTCTGTATAACAAAGTGAATGAGCTACACATATACATATTCTGCTTCCTCTTGAGCCTCCCTCCCACCCCAGCAACCCGCCCTTCTAGGTCACCACAGAGACCTCGGCTAAGCTCCCTGTGCTCCACAGCTGCTTTCTGCTAGGCTCTATTTCACACACGGTAGTGTATATAGGTCAGTGCTACTCTCATAACTTATCCCACCCTCCCCTTCCCCACCTTACGTCCACATGTCTGTTCTCTACGTTTGCATCCCTATTCCTGCCCTGCAATAGGTTCATCTATACTATTTTTCTAGATTATGTATCTATGCCTTAATATATGATATTTGTTTTTCTCTTTTTGACTTAACTTCACTCTATACGACAGATTCTATCATTTCCTCCAAAACCAAATCTGGTTTCACAAGACTTAAATTCATTAAAGAACATTTATTTGATGTTACTCATATCTTATGAAATATTAACTATGCTCTTTCTGATACAGGTGAAAATTACACAGTTTTAAAACTTTTTTTCTTTTTTTAACCCCCTCATACTTGAAACAGCCACTAGCAGCAGTACTCCCTCACAGACTGGCAACACTTTCTCATATAAACCATATTTGTTCAGAGTGGAAAACTTCTGGGCAACGTTGTGGGGGGATACAGAAGACACTGATTCGATCCCTGGGTCAGGAAGATCCCCTATTGGAGAAAATGGGGAGTATTCTTGTCTGGAGAATTCCATGGCCAGAGGAGCCTGGTGGGTCACAGACCATGGGGTTGCAAAGAGTCGGACATGCACATCGCACATGTGGGACCTGGGATCCAGGGGTATAATGTCTCTGAAGCAAAATGTTGGGTACGTGCACCTAGAAGCAACTTTCTGGGAGAATGTTAGAGGAAGTTTCAGAAAATAAAACATTAAGCATTACTTTCATTAAATTTACTATAAGAAAAAAAAATTTGATGTTTGATACCCACTACACTCCATTTAAAATTTGGAGTGTAGTTAAATTTAAAATTTAAAGAAATTGAAATTTAAAGTTAGTCTTCCCACTACTTTTTTCATAGCTGTTAAGCCCTGACAGTGAAAACTTTCTAAATACAAATTGAATTGAATGGAATACTGAATTTCTAAATGCTCAGCCAATCTGAAAGCTTGGCTATATTTAATATACCATCAGTCTTTATATTCTACTTATTGTAAAAATAAAGATATGCAAAAATGGGATTCCTAATTACATATGTCATAGTTGAAACATTTCATGGGGGAAAATGTAAAAAAATTCCATGAAGAATTCTCTTCCTTTTTCTACTTTCCTATAATTTTTAAACATTAATATGGAACAATTGGGGACTTTCCTGGTTGTCCAGTGGTTAAGAATCCACTTGCCAAAGCAGGGACACAGGTTTGATCTCTGCTCTGGGAAGATCCCACATTCCTTGGGACAGCTAAGCCTGTGTACCACAGCTACCGAAGCCAAGTGCCCAAGAGCCTGTGCTCCGCAGCAAAAGAAGCCACTGCAATGAGAAGCCTGCACATTGCAATGAAGAGTAGCCCGTGCTAGCCACACTAGAGAAAGCCCACAGGCAGCAACGCAGACCCAGTGCAGACAAATATATCTATATATTTATCTCCAATTATGCTTATGTAATGATGGTGATAATTATATCGGTAACATCCATTGAGTTTTTCCTGTGTACCAAGCAAGATACTAAGCAGAGACATCACTTTGATGACAAAGGTCTGTATAGTCGAAGCTATGATTTTTTAGTAGTCCTGTATGGATGTGAGAGTTAGACCATAAAGAAGTCTCAGCACCATAGAAATGACACTTTCAAACGGTGTTGAAGAAGATTCTTGAGAGTCCCTTGGACAACAAGGGACTCAAATCAGTCAATCCTAAAGGAAATCAACCCTGAATATGACTGGAAGGACTGATGCTGAAGCTGAAGCTCCAATACTTTGGCCTCCTGATGTGAAGAGCCGATTCACTGGAAAAGACCCTGATGCTGGGAAAGACTGATGGCAGGAGAAGGGGCTGACAGAGGATGAGGTGGTTAGATAGCATCACTGCCTCTATGGACATGAGTTTGAACAAAGTCAGGGAGATAGTGATGGACAGAGAAGCTTGGCATGCTGCAGTTCATGGGACTGCAATGAGTCGGACCGAGTCAGCGACTGAACAACAACAACAATAATGTGATACTTATAACATTCCAATGAAGTAGGTACTATTATTATCCCTTCTTTTTTTGGGTGGGGAGGCATGTGGGATCTTAGTTTCCCAACCATGGATCAAACACATGCCCCCTGAAGTACAAGTGTAGTCTTAACCACTGGACCACCAGAGAAGTCCCCTATTATCTCTTTTTTAGCAGGTGAGGAAACTGAAGTTGAAAGAGGTTGATCAACTTGCTCAAGATTTCACAGCTTGTGTAACAACCTTGACTCTGAAAGTTCATGCTCTTAACCACTACACAGACTTACAATGGTACATTATCTACTGGTAGACATTTAAAAGAGGTCCATGTGTTCAGAGTGCCTTTGGCTCATGGTACTTCTTGTTAGCCACTTAAGTTTCCTCTGACCCTGCATTTTCCTTACCTAGCTGGAGAGCTCTCTGCACTCTCATCCCAAGTCCAAGTTGAAGTGTCCTAAACTCCTCCAGCTTCCAGGTAGTATTTATCTGGTTTTCCAGTTATGACTCCCAGTTCTGAGGTTACATTCCCTAATGCTCTCTCCTGTGACGACCTACTTAACGTTCATTCCTTTTTCCAATTTCTTCTCCTCTCTCCCCATCCTCCCTCCAGGCTTGTATTCTATTTTTGTTTGAGAAGTGAATCCTAAACCAATTTTTCTTGCCTATGCAGTAGAAATACTTTTTCATTACCCACTAACTCTAAACAAGAACCCAAAGTATGTAAGAAAACTCTCAACACAGAGCCTCTGAATCAGATTAAGTCACCATGAAAGAGCAGGCAAATGTTAATACAATGCACATATGGAGAGGCCTTTCCTTCACTGCTTCTAAAATTACACACGCTAAAACCAACACAAATGCCTAAATAGAACACTTTATTATCATCATCAAAATTAGGGGACAAACACAGGGAGAAGATGTTTATTCAGCAACATCTTCAAATGATAAAAGACGTATATTTTCCAATTTTGCTTTCTGTGGCACTGACCCTAATTATTTGCCACTGAGAGATCGATATTACCCCAAAACGTTGACACTTCCACCTATATTCACATATCAAAAATTAGAGCTAATTTTATTAATATAACAATCACTTACTTTTACAACGCAAGTTCTGTGAATCCAAAGCGTTTTGCAAAGTAGGCTATTGGAACCATTCCAACTTGTGTGTCAACAGTCTTTTCTAAGTTGAACTTGGAACAGTGGTTTCACATACAAACTGTAACCCTGGAAAGACAACTTACTGTGATAAGTAAAAAATTCTATGAACGGACAGATAATTCATTTTGGTGGAGTTCTATGGTAATCTTGGAAGTTTAAACTGCGTGGCTGAAACAAAATTATCTTTAAAGACAAAACCGGAGAAATAATTTCTCCGTAAACCTTGATATTGACCTGTGGACTAATAACTTCAAGGATATGTGCTGCGAACATCTGAAGACGGTTTTCACCTAATTTCTGAGTAACTTTTAAGAATGTTGCCAACAGCTAATAGTCTTCTCAAAATGAGTGAGTATCAAAGCGCTACCAGGAAGGTCTTTTACAGATTTGGAAGGAAGGAGTTCAGAAAAAAGTGAAGCGCCCCCCTCGCCTCGCTTCCACCAAGCCCAAGAAGCTTCTAGAAAAGAATTTTGTTTTTTTCAGGGTTAAGTCACCTGTTCCAAAGGCCAAAGGGAAATTTACCGAGGGTTTTGGTTCCACGGAGAGAAGCTGAAAAAATGAAGGGGCAAGACTCCTTGTCCCAAACTTGAATGTGATCTCGCTTCAGGGACAGTTGTATTTGACCCTCAATGAGCCCAAAATCTTGGACTCATCTGTGCTAGGGCCTTTGAAAAGGAATCCTGGGCTGCCTCGGCCAGAGACGGATTCTCAGGGGCTCCCTGTGGGGACTTACCACGTCCTCACCACGTCCTCAAGGCAGAGCGGCCAGAGTCCTCCGGGAGACGCTCTACAACCCGAACGCCAATGAGGGTAACACCCGCGGCCGCACCCACATTGGCTCCGGGAAACCGGAAGTGGGTGCGTCTGAGTGAAGTGCTCCTCCTGCACGCGTCCGCTGAGCTGGGCCCCTCAGGTAGGCGGGGCCCCTGGCTCCTAACTCTGGAACCTTCGGGTAGGCGGCGGTGGAGAGGGGACCTCGAGGGTCTTTAGGAGGTAGTTTGATTTCTGGTCTGGGAAGACGCCGGAAGAGTTTTGGGGACAGCGGATTCCCGGCGACCTCTGGTGGCAGCCGGGCCTAGTCGAGCCGGCCGCCGCAAGATCCAAATGTGGGAGCTTCAAGTTCCCCGGTGTGAAGTGGGATTTGGGGCCGTGACCAGAGCTGCTCCCTTACCGCGTCCGAATGCTTTAGGTCCGGATGCTGCTCATTTCCAGGCGGGAAAACTTGTGCGCCCCACCTGTACTGTTTCCGTGCTTCTGGGTTTGACAGCTTCCCTCATGGCAGGTTCGGGTGCGGGGTTCTCCTCTGTCACCCCCTCGACTTCAGAAAAACCTGAGAACGACTGCCGGAGACAGTCGAGAGAAAATGGGTTTCTCCTCCCTCCTCCAACCGCCTACCGCCCATTTGAAGTCTTCCTCGAAAGAGAGGTTGTGTTACATTCTCTGGCTGCCTAAGTGGAGTTTTCGGGACTGCTTTAGGCCACGTTTATATATAGTAAATAAAACCACTCGTTAATCGTTTCCTTTTTCCCAGACAACTCCACCCCTAGGTGGTTTGAACTTTGAGCCTGTTTTAGTCCTGATGAGAAGTTTCGCTTTCCTCAAGTTTAAGACACTTGGAACTTCAAGAATTGGAGGTTTATGCCATTTGAGACCGGTCAGCACTGAGCAGAGTTAAGAGTACTAAGAGACAGGTGAGCGTAAGTGAGTACCTTCCTCTCCAGATTAATTTTTGAGAGTAATTTTGCAGTTTTGGTAAAAGGTGCACCACCTTTATTGAATACTAGGTGGTGCCCGCGAGTTAATCTTTCTGAGGTAAATCTCAAATAATGTAGCATCAGGGTAGGGTTTTTAAAGAGTTTCTACCTGCCCTGAAATTGTTTTAAAATACCCTTACCTCCTTAAAATATGTTGTGCCTTTATACAGTTCATTCAGTTATTGACTATCGATAGTCTGTATTATAGTGCTGAAGAGTCTAAGAAAGGAATCAGACTCAAAATTTCTGCTCTCAGTTTACAGTCTGGAGAGGAAGACAGACAAACAACAGGCTATAATGAAATCACATATAATTCAAGGCAGATATAGTGTTAAGTAGAGACTAAGATGTAGAATGCAGTGGATAAAGCAGTCAATTCTCATTATTCATTTACCTGTTTTTATCCAGTACTTTCTGTCTGCCGAGTATTGTGCTAGTTGGTGGTGTGTAAAGAAAATGTAAAACCCCTATTCTCAAAACAACTCACAATCTAGTGACTGGGAGGGAACCAGGGAAGGCAGTGTGGAGAAGGTGAAATTTGACCTTGAAGAATGAATGACTTGGCCTTGATAAGTAGAAAAAAAAAAAAAATACAGGCTCAAAAGAGAAAGATGAAAGTGCATGATATGCTTTGAAACAGCAGTAGTCCAGTGTGATTAGACTGTAGGAAATTAAGCCTGAAAAGACACTTTATTTTACATTAGGTTTCTCTTGACTTACACTGAAAAATTCAACAGATTTAGAATAAAATTTCAATGTGTATTTCCAGGAGAAATTATATATGAAACATAGTTATAGTAAGTTACTTTCTGGCTAACCTATTATACATGAACTAAGCTGTAATAAATTACACTTCTGGTTATAATGTAGCTCATTTATGTTTACATATTATTCATGATTGTAGATGATTTAAGTCAATTTTTTAAAATACAGTAAAAAAAAGATAAAAGATGCAGTAGTAAGTCTAGATTTTCACTAATTGCATTCTATTTTGAATATCATATAAGGAATCTCCATTGAAGTTCGCATGTGGAATCACTTGAAAATGACTATGTGTAGGAAAATTTTAAATGCTTTCAAAAGTTACCCTGAAAGTAAGAAAGTGAAAGTCGCTCAGTCCTGTCCAACTCTTTGCGACCCCATGGACTATACAGTCCATGGAATTCTCCTGGCCAGAATACTGGAGTGGGTAGCTGTTCCCTTCTCCACTGGGTCTTCCCATGGATTGATTCTTTACCAGCTGAGCCACCAGGGAAACCAAAAATTTACCCTAGGATTTAAGTTTTGATGAATATACCAAATAGTAATGTTTCCTAAAACGAATGTGAGTGTAATTTCTGTAAATGGAAAAACTCAAAACACTATAAATGTTAAGGTAAATGCATACAGTATCAATATACCAAATCAGGAACTTTTCTATACCTTAGCAATAATTAGAAATTGTAATAACAGGGACTTCCTTGGTGGTCCAGTGGCTAAGACTCTGCATTCACAATGCAGAGGCTCTGAGTTCAATCCCTGGTTGGGGAACTAGATCTCACATGCTGCAACAACGACCTGGCACAGCCAAATAAATAAATATTTAAAAAAAGAAATTGTAATAACAAAATCACTATTTCCAATATTAACAAAAAATACAGAATATCTAAGAACAGCTAGTATTCAAAGCCTTTGTGAGTAATACTTTTTTTAACTAAAGACCTTGAAAGAAAGCCTAGGTAATTGGAGAGATACATTGCTTAATTGAAAGATTCAGGGAGTTCCCTCATGGTTCAGTGGTTAGGACTCCTTGCTCCCAATGCAGGGGGCCTGGGTTCAATCCCTGGTCAGGGAACTAGATCCCGCATGCCACAACTAAGACCTGGTACAAGCAAATAAGTAAATAAAAAAAACATTAAAAAAAAAGATTCAAATTTCAAGGATTCAGGTTTTATCCATATTAATTTTAATGTAACTCTTGTCAAAATTTCAATTGAATTTTGGGAACTAGTTGTCAAACTGATTCTTAAATTTATTTAGAAGAGAAAATGTACAAGAATAGCCAAGAATTTGGAGGAAAAAACCCGCAATAATAAAGGTAACTTCTTATCAGTTGTCTGTGTACACCAGCTTTAAAGCTATAATAAATAAAATAGCAAAGTAATGCCTTAGGACCAGAATATTGTCAATGAAACAGAGTCTGTTTTTATTGCGTCTCAAAGGTGATAAATAAATACCGGTAAAACAGTTTTGGAGCAGTTAGTTATCCATTTGAAAGAAAATTAAAGATCCTTATTTTTCAGCACTAAGAAAAAATAACTGGGTGGTTAAAGAGCTCAATGTAAAAAAATATCTATAAAAGTCTTAGAATACAAAATAGTATATTTTTGGGAATTTCTGGTGGCCCAGTGCTTAGGACTCAGTGCTTTCACTGCCAGGGCTCAGGTTCAGTCCCTGGTTGGGGAGCTAAGATCTTGCAAGCTCTGTGGCACAGACCCCTCTGCCCCTCCCCGCAAAATACAAATTAGTATATATTTGAAAATCTTGTATGGTTAGAACCTGCTTTCATGGGACACAAAACTAAGAAGACATAGAGAAGATAAGTTTAGCCATTAAAAATAATAATTTACCATAACAAAAAATACCATAAGTAAAATTTAGGAGACAAGAGGTAATATTTGCAACATAAAAACAAAGACTTTATATCCATATTATATGAATCAGTAGGAGAAAGATAATCCCATAGAAAAATGGGTATTTCCAGAGAAGAAATTCATATCAAAAGTTGTTCCTGCCTACAAATCATTGGGTAAATGTACACAAAGGTCAACAAGATAATACACTCTTAGTCCTGGAGTGTACTTAATAAGAGTGAAAAAGAATGTTAAAATGAATCTTGTAGAACAGAGGCATACCTGATCTGTTTCCTTGTGAATCTGTATTTTTGTCTATCAAATTTGTTTAGTAAGATAGATCAATAGTTAAAACTTCCAATTAATTTGTCAAGTCAATTAAGATTGCCAGGCATTTTTGTGGGGTGTTACTACTATATGGATTTAAACTTTTATGCTTCTTTGCACAGCTATCTTCCCCACACCTGTAGCTCAGAGTATAATCTAGGTTAAATTGCACTGCTATATTGAATCATTTCAAATAACCAGTACTGCCTGTGGGTTTATTGTTCTACTTAGAGATTAAAATGGCTTCCAGAGGAAAGACAGAGACAAGCAAATTAAAGCAGAATTTAGAAGAACAGTTGGATAGACTAATGCAGCAATTACAAGACCTGGAGGAATGCAGGTAATAGTATAATTGTATACAGCTATGCTGTAAAATGGTGTTTTTTTCTACACTTAGATTATAAGCTCTGTGTGTGCAGTTCTATGTGTGATTTTGGTTTCCCCTGTAGTGTTCTTCACAGCGCTTTGTCTGCTGTACAACTAAACTCAGTATAGGTTTTAGAGTTAAAGAGCCTGGGATATTAAAGTCTTTAGCTTAAAAAAAAAAAATAAAGTCTTTAGCTTAATTACAAAGCGAGTTAGTTTTGGGCAAGTTAACTTGGGCAAAATGCTTAACCACCTTGAGTTTCCATTTCCTCAAGTGTGAAATGGAAATAATATCACCCATCTTGTCTTCAGTATTTAAAGTAGCCTTGCCTGGTATCAAGCTGAGAAAGTATTACTTGAACTTTCTAGTGTGTGTTTTCACCCTTAACTGCTCAAAGGTCTAAGACTGCTCATTGCCTTTTTAACAACCTTGAAGATTGTTGTAAACATTACAGATGAAGAGACTGACTTAATGCTTGGCCCAAAGCAGGCACTTGATATATAGGAGCTCTTTTTCTAGTAAATGTTTATTAAATGGCTTGTTTGGAGTACCCAGATGGCAAGTACTGCATTGTTGTTGTAATTCAAAGTACATAAAATTTTACCCACCATTAATGTTTTGATGGCTGTGAAGGGGCGGGTGGGCTGGATTTCAGTTGT